ACTTTTTTTCAGGGTAAGTAATTTAACTAACAGAGAATTCCATTTTTAACAGGAAATACTGCAAGGTAGCATCATAAATATTATCTTTATATGCCGAGTGTTCCCCAGACAACAAGGAAAGATTGATCTCATATGGGAAACCTCTGGCCCATTAGGGCCACTTCTTCACTGGGCAGCCAAGCATGATACAAGTGGCTTACCAGATCTGCAGCTTCAGGTCACTCTGGGCATTTTGAAACTGTTCCTGGGAAATTTGTTTTCTTCTTGCCTTTCATTTGAAGTGGAAATAATTTGAAGCAGTGGGTCTCTTGGGCTGCATAATAGTGAATGAATCTTTATCTTACAGAAGATTTTCCACCCCTTCTGTAATAGCAGTGGGTATTTCCTCTGTGATATGCTTTTGGTTTTTGAGTGGACTTTATCTTCTTTCCACATACTATTACAGCAGAATCTACTGTTAGTTGATACCATGTTATATATAAGTTCAGCTTGCTTTGGTATAGGAACCCCAGTTAAAATAGAATTTTAAGAAGAATCAAGGTGATATAAATGTTAGACTCATGTAACAGCCTGGTCTTAATCCCTGTTGCATAAAAGATCCTTGGAGCCATGGGCTGTGAGTAATTCTTTTAATAGAAGAAATCCAAAGGATGAAAAATGTGTATTAAAACATCTGAGGATAATCAATTTTTGGTTTCATATTTGAGAGAGAAAAGTAGTGGTATTGGAATTGTCAGGAATGGAATAACAGCACTGGTGCTACACCTTTCAGAAATTAAGCAGATGTGGAACTAGCCAATCTCATGGATTGGATCTAATAGGACTTCTACAAAACTATAGTGTTTGGACTGTAAACTTTTCCATAGAAACCTCTTTGTCTAATTTTATACCTCCAATGTTGTAGAAGCCTATTTGCTTTATCTAATTCTCATTGAGAGAATAGGTTAAATTTGTTTATAAGTGTCTTCATAGCAGTAGTTGTAAGTTCTAATGGTAATCTTGCAGCTGATACTTTCTCTAAAATCAAGATATTGGCACTTGACTCAAAAACTAAATATACAGATTTAGATTTATATATGTATATGTGTAATGGTATGAGGGAATGACCATGGGAGACAGGAGGAAGAGCTGCAGCCTAGACAATTGTCGTGCAAAAGGTATCTCAGCCCACAGAAGGAAAAGGGGCATGGGAGGCATCTCAGAAGGGACCCT